ATGTTAAGTGAGAATGAGTCCAAGCTACTGGCTTTGGAACTGAACTCTTGATTAGAATCATTTATAAATGCCTCAACAGCTCTGTGTTATCAAAATCCATACAGGGTGCAGATATGTGTCCTTAAGTTGTACTTTGGACTGTTGAGTTTGGCTTTTACTTGCAGTTGCTAATCAAGCAGAAGTACCATTTTGAAAAAGGATTAATAGCTGGGATGTTTGAAGCACCTACATCTCTAAGTATGTTCTATTCAGTCTGTCTCCCAGCTGTATCTCTCCGCTACATTGCAGTATGGTGTGGCTTACAACATGCACAGAGATTGTCCTTCTCGCCTTGTTACAGCTTCCTCCAACTCAGCCTTTAATGTGCCTGGTCTGTCCCTCTGTAGCCCTTTCTGACCTGGACTCTGATGCTTGCCTGACTTGTGGTGCTATGCTCAGGGTGCCGCAGGGATTTGATTACATACACGTGTCCAAGGCAGTGTCTTGGTTGATAGTGTGTTGCAGCAAGACATTTTTCTCCACCTTCAGCAGTAGCCTTACTCTAAGAGGTTACTTCCCAAGCCCTTCCTCTCCAACGCCCCCTGCCCCAGTTCCAGCCTCAAGATGAATCTAATAATTCTGTTTAGTTAATTTTTTACCAATTAGAATGCAATTTATAGTTGCAAAATTGATCAGTTTGCAGTTTTGGCTCTGTCAAGGGTAGAATTTCTGCTCAGAGCCTATCATGGGTATCTCAGAATAGCTCTGTCACATGGCTTGGCGTCCGATCTGAAGTGTGGGAGATGCAAGTTCCAAGTCCTTGCTTTGTCTGAATTGAAGTAGGGCACGGGACACCAATTTCTTATATTCCCATGAGTGTGTGCATTAATTCTTCAGTTGTTCTCTTCCTTCCTTTCACACAGTATATATTTTTTTTTTGTAATTTGGATAAGGAGAGACTGATACACTACATAGACTACTATTACAGCCTGCCTGGGAGATTAACATTAAAATTTGGGGTTGAATTGGGAAAAACAGACGGTTCTTCAGTGAATGTGTCGCTCTCCTGATTTTCAGATGACTTAGATTTTTGACCTGATGTGGAACTTGAATGCTCACGTTACTTTTCTGTTTTACACTAAATGGTAAAACATTTCTCTGCTTCCATCTGTCTCTCCTGTTTTTAATCTAGATTTCTAACCACCAGTTTTGGGATGATTTTTGAATTTGTGGGTTTTGGCTGATAAGTAGCCATGAAATTCAGGCTGATCCCCTTTGCTAAATCAGATGTCTTGCTTCTAGTCCATCTTTAGTTAATCCCGTGGCCAAGAGGCATCTGATCCAAAGGCTGTCTGTAATGGCATTTAAGATAATTTGATTCATATTTAACCTGTATTAACAATAAAAAAAGTCAGGATGTCTGACACATTTTATTTCTGGTGGCAAAAAATGCGTTTTCACAAACATTAGATGTCTGAAGATCACTTCATCTTAAGAGAAAATTATATACTCAGTAAGAGTAGAAATCAGAGGTTTTCTGTACAGAAACTACCTCAGCAAACCAGTAAAATCTGAATGTGAAAGCTTTTTCAGCTTTCCCAAGGAGAATGTATCTCTAGGTGTCTCGAAAAATTGTATCAGCTGCTGGAGCTCACATGAAATTCTGCTGGTGTGTGTTGTTTTCAGTCCAGTGAAGCAGTAAACAAATACATTTAACACAGTACAAAATTGTGGAGTATGGCTTCATGATAATCTTTTCACTTGTCGAGGGATAAATGGGCAGTGGAGGCCTTTCATGTGCTCTGTATCAGTTCCCTGATCCTTCAGTCTCCTAGACCCTTCTTGTCTAGGAAGATTAAAAAACATTGTACTTCATAATTCTTAAACTCTTTGTGCCCAAGTATTTGAGATTCTCTGTAAGTATCTCAAAGAACTGTTTGGAGGTATAGCTGTTAAAAAACCCTAGAACAATCAGAGAGAGATGAAGAAAGGGGACTCCATAAGTACCCCTGGAAAATAGAAAGATTGAATTAGTTTCTTTACAAGTGAGTTTGGAGGGTGAGTCGCAGGATGTGAATACAGCATTGGGAACATTCCCGGGTCTTTTCCACAATCCTTTTAATGTGGTTACAGATTCCTGACTGTGAGTGAAAATAAATTAGAATTAACTTTACTGAGTGTCGAAAACATGGAGACTTTTAAATTTCTTTGGAAAAAGCATCAGGGCATGCTATGATTTTTTTTGTCTGTACTAATTCGTGATGACAAAGCATCAAGATGGCAAAGAATGAATCATTTGGATGTTCATGAAACAACATATTTTAGTGTCACTAACATGTGGCTTTTGGGAATTCTTGAAGTAACAGAATAAGGACCCAAGGAGTATCTTTGATGAAACAGATTTGGTTGAAGAGGACAGTTAATCCAATTTCTATTCTGATTAACACTAATAGCCAAACTACTCCTGTTGGTTCTTGAAGGTTGTCAGGTATGTTAACAATACATAATATCTTGAAGGTCTTTTCCAACCTAAGTGATTCTGTCATTCTCTAATGGATTTTATTATCAGAATATGATTCTGTGATTCTCTAATGATTTTATTATCAGAATAATTAGGCTGAATGACCTTAGTACTAAACTATGGAGCACCTCTGCATTCACATATATAGTGAAATTTGTAGTGAGTAGCAGCCACATATGTCTAGGAAGTAAGCTAAACTTGAGTGATTAGGAACAGGCATCCAAAGGTTGTGCATTTTATGTTAAAAGGTTGTATGAACTCAGCTGAAATCCAGTATGTTTTAGAAGCTCTTGAAGAACAAAATTCAAAGAAGACAGATTCTTTGCAAGATCCAAACCTAAAAAAAATTTTTTTTTTTTTTTTTTTTTTTTATCCAGTTGCATTTTAGTTTCTGAAATTCATAAATTCCATTTCAGTAACTTTCTAGACTTGTAAGATTTTGGTTGATATCACATAGTATCTGAATGAAGTTATAGAGCCAAAGAGCAGTTTTTAAAATGTAATTTTAATTCAGCTTGTATATTCTTGATACTGCATGTAATTAATTTTTACTCCAGAAAACTGATGGCAGCTTTTAAAATGCAGATAAATTGTCATGTTAGTTATTGACAATTAATAAGTAATTTGGGGAAAAAAAAAAAGAGCTCTGAAAAGAAAAGCATGATTATAAAATTTCTAGACCCTTTGCCAAAATCTGCTCAACGGTGTACCACAGGTTCTTACAAGGTTTTTTGGGATGGGAGGGGGAGGATGACTTGGAGTTGCTGTTGGCAAATCTTAGGCTACTGAGACTCTCTTAGCGTTTAATACTTTTACTTCTCTAAAAAATTATCTGCCTCTGGAATCTTGTACAAGAGTCTTAGCCTGAACTTAAGAAGAGTAGATGAAAAACATGGGACCTGAATGCTAAAAGAAGACAAATAAATCATCCCTCAGATTTCTTGTGTAGAGATGAAGATGCATGTAATTTCCCATCTCATGCACTTCTGAAGTATCTCTCCAACTCTGCCTTAGCCTGCTAGATGCAAGTGTTGACCTAACTTGTGTTATGGCTGAAGCTGTGCCATCTAGCAGGGCTTCATGTCCAAAAGGCCCCAGCTAGGGTTTGCATTTCTAGCAAAACAGCTGTTCTTAAGTGAGAAAACTTCCCACTGTTTCAATTATTTAAAAAGATGGTGGAGGTTTTTAAAGCCATTTTATCTTCCAGTGGAAGTCTGATTTGTGAACCTTGTGGTTGGCAGCACTGGCTTTTGCTTGGTTTTGATATTCTTCAGTTATTTTAATGCACTGAGGCCAGAGGTGGCCATTGGATGGTATTGTTGTATTGCAGGACAGTGATGCTCACACTTTCTGTCACATTGGAACGTCACTCGTGGGAAACTTTCTTCCCATTCATCATCATCTGATACCTGTGGCAAGTGTGGAGATTGTTCTCGTGGAAAAGTAATTTTAAGAATCTGCATTGCTGTCATAAGCTGATATCTGACTGAGCTTTGGAGATAGAAACAAAGAATAGAGCCTGGTCCAGGTGATGTGACTGGCCTCTTCCAATGGACTTCTTGCATTCTGGACCACTAGCTCTCTGCAGAATATAGTGTTGGAAACTCTCTGCAAATGATCTGTCTTGTAGAAGTTTTTTAGGAGGTAGGAAGTGTCACATGGCCATTGGGAGCTTGCAGATATACTTTTAATTGAAGGGTTTTCCTGTAACTGTCTTCAGCTGTTCCCTCAGCTGATGAAATCACACCGAATCTCTTTTCAAATGGAAACTTAGGCACTCATACTGCTTTGGTCTTGTTATGCATTTCAAGGAAGTTTTGCAGAGGGGCAGAGTTTACAAAGATAAGCTTTTGTTAATTGTTCATGTCAATTCATGTGCATGCTGTGATGGCAACTTGTAGGGTTGTAGTGTGGTTTTAAAGCTGATTGTTACTGGTTATTCCAGGCAGTTGAGAGCTCCGGAATGACCCAGCTGTGGAAAAAAGCTTCACTGAAAGCTTACAAGTTCTTTATATTTTCAATCATATTTCAGTCATTTTGAAATAGATTTGAAAGCATTTTTCTTGTGCTCACAGAGATATTTATTTTCTTCCTGTACTTACAATTCAAAAATATTGAATTTTAAATGGTTGATTTTAGAAGGTAGAGCATTCTTCAAGCAAGTATTTTTTGAGAAAGTTTTCTGTTGACTTGGAGACTGCTCTGCCTTGAGCAGCTGACAGGGAACAACTGAGAGAGCCCACGTTATTGATCTGAAACATGTGCCTCCATAAACTCTTCATGGGAAAGTTTTCTTATGATCAGTCTGTGGTGGGGGAAAGGCTCAGTTCTTCAGGCAGTAAATCACTGTAAAGTGAGTAGAGCAGATTGGATGATCAGAATATTTGGTTTGTAGAAATTGTCATTTTTACATAAATGTTAGGTTTTTAAATTGCATTAAAATAAGCACGTGATCATGCCTGGCCTCTAATATCTGCATTTCTACTTTTTTTTTTGTTAGAACTTGAAAGAATCATGCTGGGAGAAGGCAGGCTACTTCTTTGACCTTCCGGATTTCTTATCTTGGAAAGCCACAGGTGTCACTGCAAGGTATGTTAATTATAACAATATGATTTGGTCATCTACGTCTATTTTTTTCTGAATGTTTCTGCTTTAATTCATTTTGACTGGACATGCTGTTGTGTACATCTGTCTGTAATTCAGCCTGCTCCAAAACATCTTGAACCTATCTCCTGCTTCCATTGTGCATTCCTGAACACATTTGTTCCTGTGAGCAGTGTAATTCACAGATACAGTGTGTTGCTACAAGTGTCAGTTAATTGGTATTGTACTCCATTTTGGAACGTAAACATGATTGCTCTAGTTACTGTGAAATATGCTTCTAATAATTCTTTGAAATCTGTTTTCGCTGACAAATTTATGGAATTTTTTGCGAATTGGAAGAAAACACTTCTTTGCCATGTGGGAGGTATCTTGTAAAATCTTGTTTAAAATGTTCACTTCACTGTAAAACACGGCAGCTGTATTGCTCCCCAAAAGCATCCTAGAATATTTGCTGAGCCATTTAACAAACTCCTTTGACAGAACCCCTTTAAAATCTTGGTTGAAGTGACTAGTACCAAGTGAAGCGCTTTTACAGATAAACAAGTCCTTGTGAAAAGTGAGCTTACAGTATTATTTATTTAAAATAAAGTCTTATGGACCAATCACATTCCCAACTCAGTGCAGTTTACGGTTATTTCCATTGCAGTTTGTGGAGGTCAATCTGTGCAAAAATTAGTCTAAAATGAAAACTGTTCACAAATAGTTTTAGTCTCTCCAGGATGGAAGATACCTTCACATCAGACACAATTGTTTTTATTTGAGTGTTCTCTTTCTCCTTACTTAGTCTTTGCGTTCGAGAGCTATTGTTGAGTATCTTCCATTATAGAGCAGGAAAGTGATGTGTTTGACTTGCAAACAAAAAAGGAAAAACCTACAGAAGATTATACTAAAAAGTAGAGCTGACTGAATTTTTACTGGCAAGTTCATTTCCTTAGAAATGACATTTTGATTTTTCCAAAACTTTTTTGATTGTGTTGGTGAATGTTGTAAGGGAGAAAGTAATGTGGGAAGAAGACTTTCTGGACAGTCTTCCCCCACCCTTTGATTGAGAGTCTTCTATTATGGATTAAATAGTTCCTTGTACATCCTTCTTTGCTGTCTTAATGTGCTCCCCAAAATTATCTCATTGTTTTGGCTCTAATGGAATGTTTTATAGGGTAACAAAGGAGGAAGAAAAAGACAGGAAAATAAGGACAAGAAATGTTTTGTTGGTATCAAACCTAATTTTTTTTCCCTTCATCTGCTGTCCCCTGTGCACACCTGTTTCTTGGGAATTTCCTTGTAGTTTGGTGAAGTAAAGTAGTTGGTCCTGCATATGCTCGTAATACTAGGGAAGTGTGAATTTATCAAGTATAAGATTCTTACCACCTTTTCTCCCTTTGAGCACAAAGGAGCCTATTCACAGGGCAAGACACAGTGTTAGTCATTGTGAATCATACATAACTTGGCCCTGATAAAAGAAAGATTTATTTTTTTAAATTTGTTTTGGTGATGGGGATTTTACCAAAATAAATGCAATTCCAAGGGCAGTTTTGTAGGAAAAAGACTTCTGCACTCATTGAACTATTACACTTGCTTCTTTAATTTTTTAGGGGATATTTAAAACATTTTGTATGCATTTAACATTTAAAAACTATGTATAGTCTTTTTGGCTTCAGTGAGATTGTGCAGTGCACAAAGTGAAGTAGTGTGTGAGATCAGGATTTGAAGCATTTGGAAAGCAGTTCTTGATGTGTGTTTCTGAGTATGAACTGGTTAGTCTTTCACCTTTAATTCTGCTGGCTTGAACTGCCTTGTTGCCAGGTTTTTCCCAGTAGATGTATAATAAACAGTCAATGCTTCTCACCTGAAAGATTTGTTAGAAGAGACTCAAACGTATTCTGAGATTTTTACCTACTGTCTTTGAAATTGCTATATATCCAACCTAACAGTGTCCACCAATCAATTGCAAAGGGTAAGTTCCAAATCATTGATTCCCGTTGTCCTTGGAAGATTGTTGCCTGTAATATTCCATATTAAAAATAATTATTTCTCCTTTGGTTTGACAAAAAACCAAATTGAATTGATGACTGACTATTCTGCATTTAAAAAAATGTTACTGACAGCTCTTCAGTTAAACAAATCTAAAACCTTGGAACTTCCCTGCTTCTGTTCCCCAAGGTTGCAGCAATGAGTATTGGTTTTGCCACTTGAATACTCAGTTGTCTTATTTCAGAAATGCTGTTGTGGAGAAGAAGAGTGAGCTGTTTTTTCACAGACACGTTAGCAGTGCTTTTCAGAGGGTCAGCACTTTTACTCATGGTGAGCGTGACTCACTGCTCTCTTCCACCCACCATCTATAACCTCTGATAACTTTTCCTTTATATGGTATTTTGGATAAAGCTATCCTAATAAAATCTAAATGGCTATCTGGTTTAGTTACAGGCTACTGTGTTATGGATGGAGAATTCTTATCAGAGATGCACATCTGCAATTTTATTGTATTTCTGAAGTCTTGTAAAGGGTTACATTGCAGATAAGAATATGACTGAGCTATTAAATTGGGTAGAATTCACACACAAATTTCTCAAAGGTTGTGTGTTTTTAGATCCAGTGTTCTGTTGCAGGGCCACTTTCAATCATAAGCAACTCACTGGAAAATTAGCTAGTCCCGGCTGGATTTACATGATTTAAGACGAGCTGTAACCAAGGAGAGATTAAACCTGTGGAGGAGGGTTTGGAAACATAGGTAAGAATGTCAGGCTGACATTATTGAGGTAGGAATGTCCAACATCATGCTATAAGACACCTCCCAAAATTACCAAACAAACTTGGAACAAACTGAATATTTGTACAGCATAATGTTTTTATATTATTACAATCTAGACATTTTAATAGCCGGGGAAAGTAATGTGTTACCTATAGAGACGTTATCTCGTATAAATGTTGACCCAAATAATTTTCCTGTGGAAATGTTTGTCCAGTCTTTAACTGCTAGCCATCATGACAAGGAAAATGGTGTAACAGAGATGTTTCTTATACTTTCGGGGGATCTTTTCTAAATGACCTCCTTCCAACAGATCTTAGATAATAGGAAGAAATTAATACTCTTATGGTAATTACAGACAGTAAAGTGGAAGTCAAATGTTTGTCATTCATAAAAAACATTTCTGGGAGCCACATAACTAATGCTAGGCTATATCTGTGTGAAAGACTAGTATCTTTTTAATATACAGTATATTTTCAACAGGAAGATACTTTGTCACCTTTTTTTGTTTTGTTGATGAGAAAGAGGCTACTTCCTTGGCTTCTGCACATTTAAATAGCTGACTCTTCATGTTAAGCAGGGATTAAGTCCTTAAAGTTTATTTGTAACCTGTTCCCGTTGCTTATGATTGGGGTTATAGATGGCTCTGTTGCACTCATTGAAATCCAGAGGACTCCTCAGAGGTTAGCAGGGTTTCTGCAGAGTACTCTGAGATGAAGAGAAGTAGAGTCTGATCCATTGCTGAATTCTGGTGATGGAAGTTTGTAATAAAACATTGAAGCTCAGAAGGTCCAAGCGTCTGGGTTCAAGTCTGCTCCGTTATGTCCCCTGTGTGATTTGGAGAAGTGAATTAAATCTACATCTTCAGAGGTGTTTAGGCAGCTGAATACCATTGAGGACTTGATTCTTGTTCATCCCTGTGTTTGTTCTTCATCTGTTAAATTCATGCATACATACACACACTCTTATGAACTTGCTTACTTTTACCACTGTGAGGTATTTCATCGCTGTGGTTAGTGGAGTCCTCACCAAATATTTTATCCAGATAGGCTGGAAACTTTGAAAAGAGAGAAAGTCTGGAAGAGGAGCTTATGTTTAGAGGCACTGTTGAAAAAACAAACTGGTGTGAATTAAATGATTATCTGAAGGATGCCTGCGTCTTTTTAAAGGATTGGGCAATCCTGGCTAGTGAGATGTGGTAACCAGAGCAGCACAGACACCAGATTCTTGGGGCCAGCTGCCCTTCCCTTCCTTCCTAGCCTTGCCATGACTAATGTATACCCTTTGGCTGGGATGCTGGCATTTGGCTTCTTGTTTATATTTTGTGCCTAATTCAGAAGATGCCTGATCTAAAAATTAGGCCCCTGTCTGGAAAGAAAGGGGCTAGGGAGTATTTCAGAAAGCTTTCTTGATTAGCACTGCAGCCCATGTGGCCGTGACAGTATCCTGAATTGCACTCGGGTTTTGTGTCCTGTTTATGAAATGAAACCCAAGACTTCAGGCTTGCAGACTTGTTTGGAGAAATCTCTGGAGAAGGGAGAATTATCTTGAAGGGCTGGTTGGGAGGGATGGTGTTTTTGTGGATTGGACAAACAAAGTACCATGAATTTCTTGTCATGGAGCCAAAAGCAAGTGTCCCTGTGATGGTATCTTTGCCAAATGAGAGAATTCCACTTCCATCAGGCTTTTAATAAATTCAGAACGTGTCCTTTGGAGACTAGTGAGACACAGACTGATCCAGTGTAAGAAAATAGAAAACGTATAGCTGTAAAAGTTATCAGGACTGTGAAGGGCAGGTGCAATGCAGGCCGTTACTGTTAAATTTTATTTTTCTAATTTAAAAACGACATGTCCTTGAGTCCACAGAGTAATCTGAAAGAGTTCTGTGTGCTAAATAAGAAAATTGTTAGCAGGTCTCGTTAATGTTAGCCAGGAAGCACACAGGCAAACAGGAAGCTTTAGCTATTGTTATTGTACAAATGCCCTTTACAAAATATTAGCAAAAGAAGCTTAATGTGTTTTCCACAAGAACAGGAGCCCTTCATAGTGTCTAACTGTATCTGCACAGTGAAGAAAAACTCATTGTCCCTTTCCAACAGCTTTGACATACATTGAGACATTGCATTTGAGAGACTTGCATTCAGATCTTCAAATATTTACTACTTCGATTTTTTTTTTTTTTTTGGTGAAAGATGTTAGGATTGTTAATTAGCTGTGACAGTATCTAGCTCTTAGTTTT